CGAGCAGGAGGAAGTACCGTCGATCATCGTTTGTGGCTGGCGTGATTGGCCGTCAGAGATCGCCGTGGACGAGCTCAAGAGCGTCCACCGCGTGATACTTGGCCGCCTTTGGGAATGGCAGCCTCCTTTGCTTCCCGACCAGGCAGCTGTCACACAGCTCGCCTTCGTGCTTGATGTGGGGCAGCCCTCGGACCATCTTCTCCAGCCGATCGAGCACGTTGAAGCTGAGATGGCCGAACTGGGCATGCCATAGCCATGGTTCCTCGGTGTGCCGTGCTGCCAGGCACACCGGTTGCTGCACCTTCAAGTCAAGCAGGTACAGTCGGTTTCGGGACCTCTTCACCTTGGCAAGAAGGCGCTGCTCCCGGTCCCTGATCCTGAGGACGCCGTCCTTGATCAGTACCTCGCTACTGCGCTCATCTAGCTGGCCAATGCTGATGATATTTGAACGCAGCTGCGGGATGTAATATACATCCGTTAGCACGTGGTGCTTGCCATTCTGGAACCTGAATATGATGGTGCCGTGCCCTCAGATTGCCACCCTTGAGCCATCACCGAACTTCACCGTGCCGGTCACGTCGTCGTCGAGCTCGGAGAAGGCTGCCTTGGAGGCCGTCATGTGGTTGCTGGCGCCGAAGTCCAGGTACCACCGCTGCTCCTGCTCGTCGCCCACATGTCCGAGGTGGACTTGGGCGCGCGGTTCGTCGAGGTGGACAACCTTTAGAGCCTTGCCGTGCTCGGCCACCGCTGTCACCTCTCCCTTCTCCTTGGTCTCAACGTCGTGCAGTGCACAGAATGTTGCCATCAGGAAAGTGGCCTCATCATCATCATCAGCCTACGCTAGATGAGCCTCAGCCTTCTTCTCCTGCTTGCGATTTGGGCACTCCTTTGCCCAATGGCCCGTCTTCCCGCAGCGCCGGCAGGCGTTGGGGTCGACCTTCTTCTTCTCCGAAGAAGCCTTGCCGCGGCCCTTGCCATCGCCACCGCGGCTGGAGGAGGCTTCCCCAGAGTTCCTCCGAGCAACCACTCCTCCTCTGTCAGCTACAACTTCCCGCTGTCCTTCGTTGCTGTGGCCTTCTCCATGCGCTCGTCCACCGCCCGCAGACGGCCTGTCACATCCTCAATGGTCAGGGTGGACAAGTCCAGCATCGTCTCTATGGAAAGAGCGATCTGGATGTACTTCATTGGCACGGAGTGGAGGTACTTGGAGACCGTCTCTTTTTCGTTGATGGTGACACCGTGGTTCCTCAGCTTGCTGATGAGCGTCTGCAGGCGGAGAGAGAAGTCCTCCACCGATTCACCATCTTTGAACTTGAGGTTGACGTACTCCTGCTTCAGCAGCTGGGTCTTCGCCTTCTTTGTGCGGTCGAAACCGACGCGCATCGCTGCAATGGCCTCCCACGCCTCCTTAGCATAGCTCTTTGCCCTCCAACGGCTCCCTGTACTCTGCTGGCATAGAAGCGAGAATGACCTTCAACGCTGACATGTCGTCTTCTTCGTTGTCGGTGCCCTTGTCAATAGCATTCCAGAGTCGTCGGGTTCTGAGCTTGACCTTCATAGTCTCCGCCCATTCGCCATAGTTGGTGCGAGTTAGCGTCGGCCAACTGGTGCCGCTGACCTCCCGCACCGTGTGCACAACGACCTCCTGTCGTGGCTGGGCAGCCACAGTAGCGCCGCTGCTGTCGCCCATCTCCAAACCGTCCGTCATCGCCAGCGGTTAGTTGGACGGCGGCGCTTGTACGGCTCTGATACCACTTGTTGGCCCCTGGATCTCCGGCACGGGTGAGCCGACCACTCACCTGCGTTGTCGACTACACACTATGGCTAGAGGTAGAAGAAGGAAGAACAGAGCACACACACAACATAAGCACCAGCATTGGCCGGAGCTCTGCAGAGGAGATGGCAAAACTGAACTCGCTCTCTTTACTGAGTTGCAGTGACAAACTATATATACAACTCTACCCATCTAATCCTAGTACACAGACATGTCAGGCTGCCATGCTGCTACAGTGACTAGATGTGACAGCAGAGCTGACTTTGGCGCTTGCCCCTGCTGTGGCTACAGTGTGGTAGGGGAGCCTTGCGGCGGCTACCTCAGCAGCAGGGAGCCCTTTCGACGCCGTCTATCCCTGCCGCGTGTTCACACAGGGGAGCAGCAGATTACTTAACAGAGGAGAGACTGTATTATTTTAACACTTCCCTCATGTGGAGTCTCAATAGGTTAGGCATCAGGCAGAGAATTGGAGTAAACAATAATATATTTTTATTACACCGGTAAATTAGCAAGAATTTGAACTTGAGATCTTTAGCTCCTATTCTAATACATGCACCAATAACTTTAAGCTTCTACACGTGGGAGCCTATTTGAGAGGGAGGCCTCACACACATGGAAGCTTAAGGTGTATTTTCTGTTGAACGGATATGCGACGTTAATATAACTTATGGCTTAGTGCCTTAGTTAATTCTAAGTGTCTAGGATGGAGTTATCAAATACACAACCCTGAATTCCCTCAACACCTGTCTGAGTTGTATTGGATCATGGTTTTAGAAAAATGAGGGTGGGCTATGGATCCGAGGGGTTTTCGTCCCCACACAGATACAAGTACACAACTTGACCAGCTGTGCTACGACAGGCCGACAGCTCCCCTACTGTCATGTAAAATGCTGTTCTTATCTCCTAAGAGTCCAAGTACAATAGCCTATATCGAACCAATAGCCTATATTCAGAGTCATAATCAGAACCAACTAGTTGGCTTGAAGACGCGGCTGCAGCGACTACTTGTATACAAAGGAAGATACATATCCTTCCAATTCAACTTCGAATCTGTCACCATCCATATGAAACCTCTCAGATGGGCGATGTACTACTTTACAAGTGACCAGGTAATCATTTGGCTTACCAATAAATAAATTTCTCCTGATGGATGAAGGTTGGAGGAAAAGGGTGAGGAAGAGTTGATGGCCACGGTTTAGGAAAGACTGTCTAACTACTGACAAGTAGCAGTGTAGCACTGTGTAACGCTAGTTAAAGAAAAGGGCAAAAGGCTACCAAGACACAAGTGCAGATATTAAGGAATTGGATGCCTTTGGTTTCATTTTGTAATTTACCATAGTCCCTTTTGCCAAGACAAGTCATGGTACAGAGAAACATGATGTCTTATTGCTAAAGAACAGCTCATAAACAAGTACAAAAACTAAGTAAATAGCCTGAAAAGAATATCTATTTTTCCAAAGAAAAAAAAATCTAATTACAGTATCTATCAACTTGCAGATTTGTCCCTGAAAAGTTTGAGGAGATTTTCAATAAGTATGCCCACACCAGGCCTGATGCTCTTACAGGGAAAGAGCTACAGGAGATGCTGCAAGCTAACAGGGAACCTAAAGACTTGAAAGGATGGTAAGTTCTCTGCAACAATTGACATTTCACAAGCAATATACTTGATCCCTCTGATCTGAATATTTTTTCTGCAAAATTACCGCAGGCTGGGTGGCTTCACAGAATGGAAGGTGCTGTATTCCCTGTGCAAAGACAAGGACGGGTTTCTCCACAAAGACACTGTCAGGGCAGTCTACGATGGCAGCGTGTTCGAAAGGTTGGAGCAAGAGAGGAACTCAAAGAAAGAATCGAGTAAGAAGAAATGATAAGAAATCCAGACGCTCTGACGTGGACGAATTCGTAAATTACGCTGTGCCCGTGGTTCGGTAAATACCGTAGTTTGATTGATTCTATATGTTTGTCGATTCATATAAAGATATTGAAGTAATTGTCGAACATGTTTGAATTAGCAAGACAACCGTAGTTGTGAGCTTTGATAGCCTCCCATATTTTTTCAGTTCATATTTTATATAAATGTTTTTGTACGGTGCTTGAAAAATGTTTCGATCGTGTTCGTTGTTCTTTGAGTTGTCTTAGTTAGTCATGGTAGATGGTGTTTGTGTTGTTACCTCTTTTTGAGTCTATTGTTTGTCCTGTTCGCTGGTTGGGGCTGGTGCTGGTTTGGGCTGGCTGGTGCTGGTTTGGGCTGGCTGGTGTTGGTTTTTTGTGAGAGAAAAACACTGTTGGCTGGTTGGTTTTAGCTGACTGAAACCAACGAGCGAACAGGCAGAAAGAATACTAAGGTGAATTGAGACAATAGGAGTGGGCACTTGTTTGAATCAGGTATATAATAAAAATGTGAGGCTCCAACGTATAAAAGAGACCAACATAATTTCTTTGTAGATGCAGACCATGTCTACAGCTACAAAGATTTGCACCCGGCCTATGTTCCAATGCTACCAACTATACCCAGCAATTGTAGGAAAGGTAAAAGTGAGATATTTAAATGTGAAATGTAAAGTAAACAAATACAAACTCGCTCAAAATCTTTTCTTTTATCACCAAGGTATCGGGAAATTTAATTCGCAAAAAAAGGTATTGGAAAATTTAAATGTGAAATGTAAAGTAAACAAATACAAACTCGCTCAAGACCTTTTATTTTATCACCAAGGTATCCGAAATGCCCTCCACAAGTGTCATTGGAGTTCCTCTCCCAGGTCAAGCTCATAGTCATGTACTCCTTTGGTTCCAAAATATTTTTAGGTTTAATCAAGTATATACATAAAATTCTTATATTTATGATATGTAATAAATATCATTATAGTTGATTGTGGAATATACTTTTATTTAAAGATATAAATATTGACATTATTTTCTATGTAACATGTTGAACTTAAAAGAGTTGGACTCCACGAGAAACGTAATGTGCCTTTTATTTTCAAACAAAGAGAGTAACTCCAAGTGGGGTTGGTGACGGCTGCACTGGGAAACTCAGTCTCCTCGCAAGCCCCAACGTGTTTTCTCCTGCGAGCTTCTAGTCTCCCCAGCTTCTTGCCCCCTCCCCTCCTCCGGCAAGCTTGCCAGCGGTGAGGGGAGGTGGGCTGGCCCTCAGTCCTATAGCTAGTTCTAGTCCCCTTTAGTTTTTCCTCTAGTTGAATAAGAGTTGCAAATGGTGCCCATAGTGATGGGAACTCTGGAGCTTCAACCGCTGGTGGTTTGTTGGAGGATGCTCCCTGCCATCTTCTTCAGTACTGGAGTTGTCTTCATGTCCGGTGGAGGTGTGTTCGTGGGTGGCGCTCTTTCTGTCGGTGTCGTCCTCGGCGGTGGCAACGAAAGACGTTGCCTTCTTCCCGGCAGTGGAGGACGTGGGCTCCAAGACATAGTGCCAAGCTCTTGCATGGCAGTCGATGCTCCCTGCAGCCTCAACGCGAGTGCGGCGGAAGCTTCCCTCGCTCCTAGAGCCGGTGACCATCTCGGTGGCGGCGTTGCCGGTGTTGTGAGAGTTCGTTGCCCAGTACGGAGATCTCTTCCTGGTTGCAGCAGATAAAGAAGTGGCAAAACATTCGCTTGCGTTCGGGTTGACCTCCAACAATCGTTGCTGCTAGTCCTCAGATTTAACGTTGGCAGACGTGGCGTGATTTTCTTGAGTATGGTGAAGCTCGTTCAACATCTACGACTCAAGACACCAAATCCTCGAAGACACAGTCTGGTCAGACAGTCAAGGGGAGTGTTGATGGTGAAAATGTCATGAACTGACATACTCAAAATACCGTCAATAGCTTCAGAATAAAAGGAAGAATAACATAACATGAGCATATTTTTATCAATAACAAGTTCCACTTGTACTTAAGGCATTTGTATGCAGGATATCACAAAACATGAATGAATAAGCTGCGGGACCCCCATGGGGGGGGGGTCGGCCGACCCGAACTATGGGCCCACCACCGTGCCAAGTCACCATGATCCATGTCAAAGCGTCCAAAGTCATTCTCCACCCTTGAATCATACTTGTGTTTCTTATCAAGGGTGGATGATCAACTCACATGGATCTATGTGCCCACAAAGACACAAACCAAAGTGACAAACATCAACCAGGGCGCTTGTCGCGGGGTCGGCACCGCGACAAGCATAGTTGTTCGAGTCGGTGTTAGAGTACGGGTCTCCGGTGGCTCGGGTGGACTGAAGAACACAAGAATCACGCAGAGAGGACGTAATGGTTTATCCTGGTTCAGGCCAATTCGGTCGCTACGTCCAGCAGCTGATGATCCTTATACTTAAAAGCACCTCAAATCGGGGGGTTACAACAGAGTGTAGAGAGCGATTTGGTAGGGGGTTAGCTCGGTGCTAATCCTAGGGTTGCCTCGCCGCCAGTGGAGCCTTCCCCGTCGTTGGAGAGGAGGAAGACGATGGGGTGCGGTGGAGGAGTTCTCGGTGCCCCTCTCTAGGTTGCCTTGCTCCTGGTGTGGAGCGGAGGTGGATGGAATCGAATAGAGTGTCTGGTGATCGATCTAGGATCCTCTCCCCTCCTAGGTCTGACCTTATCCCTTATATAACGAGATAGGTCAGGTACATGGTGGTTTGGGGGATCTAGTCTACAGTCTACATGCGCTGGAGTCTAGGAGGGTCTTGTAGTGGTGTGCCATGGATTGTGGCAGTGTCTTGGTGCCGAAGAAGCCTTGGGTGTTGTCTGGCTACTCTGTTTTGACACTTTGTGTGTCAGGCTATGTCGGCTTGGACCGGCCTCCCCTGGGTGGACCTTCTAGAGTCTTCTCGATGGCGAAGGAGGTCGGCTCTACGGGCTAAGGTGCGGGCCCGGAAGCCCCCGAGCCCCTAGAGGTCGAGGGAAAGCTGTCTTCTTGTGTCATGCTCCGAACATGACCCTGTCAGGGGAGCAGTTGGCAGGGCTGCGCCAGGGAGCCCCCGAGCATTGGTAGCTTGGGGCTTGTCTTCTTGCGCCCGAGCCTTGGCTGGCATCGTTAGCCGGGCAGGAGCCAAGGGTCGGGCCCGGATGCACCGTAGATCAGGAGCCTGGGGCTCGAGTGAGCCCCCGAGCCCCAAGCGGAGGTTGTGGCCAAGTTAGGCTTGGCCAGGTCTCTTGGCTAGAGGGTGCGCGCGAGCGTGCCTAATGGGCATAGCCCCTGAGCCTCCAGATGATCCTAAAGGGGTCGGTCGGGGGGTCTTCTTCGGTCGGGAACCATTGGACCCGAGGCTTAACATACCCATATGTTAGGATCTCATCAGGACCCCCGAGCCCTTCGTGGCCTCACTTGGCGTGATGGCAACGAAGGGCTAAATTCGATCTTATGGTGACCGAACCCTCCTTGGCTAGGACAGCTTCTGCTGACAAGAGTGCTGCACCCTGCTTAGGGCCTTCTTCATCAATGTGATGGGTGTTGCTCGGCTGTCGGGGCCAAGCGAAGATGATGTCGATCCCTTCGTGAGTCTATGTCGCATGGGTCTTCAACTCGAGCGAGGGCTCGATGGACTCGTTTGGGAGTTGCCGACTTTAGGCCTGGGGGTGCCCTACTTTGTGATCGGAGCCTACCGTGGGCCGGGTGATCAAGAGCGTAGGGCTATGGCTTGGGGTCATCTGATCATCCATAGCGCCACGCCCTTCTAAGGGCTACGGTAGCAGGCCTCGATCCTTTCCAGCCATCCTTCTAGGGCTGACCTCCTGTGGCCATTGATCGAGGAGCGGGGAGCGCGCCGAGCCTTGGACGGGGGCCCTTGTTGGGCCCACTACTTAGCGGCTTGTGACCCAACTTCGGGGAGTTGGTTAGTTTATGGGGGATGCGGCACCCGAGCGCTTGTCGATCGGGGGGTCGGGCTGCTCTGTCTGGGGAGCCGGTGTAGCCCCTGAGGCCACTATGGGGCCCCTTGACAGCTAAAGGGGCAGCTTCTGGACATGTCCCGTCCGTTGACGCCTTGCGCAGGCGATGGATGATGTCTGGGCCATCGTGCCTGGTGGAGGAGTTATGGCGTGCATCCTCATGCCATCCCGTTTCATCTAGGAGATGGGATGTTGGGGCCACGTGGAGCTGATCTGGTGGAGGAGGAGCCACTGCACTTGGTGTGGGTGGATTTAGGCCGTCGATGGTAGCCGATTGGCTCGGGGAGAGTTGTATCCCCCCAAGTCCCATGAGGAGGCATGCGCGGAGCGGGCGGTGCGCGTGGTGCAAAGTGGAGCAGGGACTTGACTCGTTGTCAGTGGTTCCCTGACTCTGCCTTTATTGCGCATCCGCCATTACGCAACCACCCAAAAGTGTGCTATGGGGATTGAAGGGATGCCTAGCCGATTCCCTGGGGCCCCTTCTAGCCATTGATGACTGATCGGATGACCTGGAGCCGCTCATAGCACATCGTCTAGGCTATAAAGGGGAGCCCCTAGGGGATGCTACACCTCCAATCTCTTCTTCTTTAGATCTGTCTTCTCGGTGGTGATGGCGGCGGTGATGAAGTGCGATGCTTCCCTCCGGGCGAGCTTGGTCTTGTCCGCCGGGCGTCTGCTTCTTCGAGGGTGGAAGGACTCTAGCGAGGGAGGGGCGATGACATGATGCCAAAGGTGTTTGTCGCGTCCCCTCTCCCTAGAAGGTGTAAGGGTTCTAGTGAGGTCACTGGAGTCCTTGTACCCTCTAATAAGGGGGAGGGGTTGCGATGCGTCGGTCGCTGCCGCTCCATCCGGTGATGGTGTGGGGGCTCGGCCCCGCTGACGGAGCGATGGTCGATGTCACCCGGATTTAGGCCCTAGGGGAGGAGCCCTGAGGCCAGCCTTCTAGCCTGAGCCTTGCGTGCCATAGGGCCCCGACCCAAAGGTCGGGCATGTCCTGCGGTTTTTGCCGCCGTATATTGTAATCGGGTCGTTCCCAATTAATGGAATGAAATTACTTTCATTTGTAATCCCATTTGCTCTTGAGTCGTGCTCAGAGACTTAGTCCCTCATTGGGATGGGCTGTTACGGCGATGGCTTCGTTGGCCAAGATCGCTGCACCCATGCTGCTAATGGGTAAGTCCAAGATAACCCTAGGTTTACAGTCGTTCTGTGCCCCGGTGATGTCCCCTAGAGGGAAGATCCTTGGCTTCTCGACTGAGCCACTTGTATAGTTCCCGAGCCCATCTATTGGTACTCAGGGGCTCGCTGCCTCCCTCATTGAGTCACCACGAACAACTTTAAGCTAGTACTCGAACATCATTCATCCAAACGCTTCTGGGTGTCCTGGCTACAACCACATGGGCTCGTCTCCCGAACGTCCCTCGCACTTTTAGTTGCTTTGAGTGACCTTGAAGCCCCATGGGCCGGCCTTAGAACCCTCGACGATGCCCCTTCTGGGGGCCCCCAGACCGTTGTGCGGTGGGGTGGCATGATCCAATGAAGGATCTGGAGATAGGCAGATACCTACAAAGAAAACAGAATGGACACAAGAGAAGGGAAAGATGACATAGCTAGTAATGTGGTGGTCGAGGCCGTTCCGTTAGTGCCTTGCTGATCCTTTGCCTGGTTGTCCTACCTTGTTTGTCCTGTCCTCGCCTTGCTCGGGGCCTTCTGCGGCGGTCCTTCTTTTGAAAGGTCAGCAGGTGGTTTGCTCAGTCGATCCTCAGGTGTAGCCATGGTACCTTTGGGGTGGCTCGGGTTAAAGGAGACAACTATAGAAATAAGTGAAGCAAGAGGGTTGGGAAGATGAAACTTATCTTGGTTTTTGTTTTTGGAGAGGTAGGCCGGCGAAGGAGGTCGGTAGGTGGGCCATGGCTCGGGAGATGGTGCTTCTGGGCAGATGACTCGGCGATGGCCTTCCCTCATGGGGAAGGTCAGAACTCACCTCAATTGAGTCAACCCCTTCTGTAGGGCTGAGCGCCTAGATGGAGGGGCCAACTGAGCCACCACTGCCGGTAGGAGTGTTGGCCGCCTCGCTGATGCTCGGTTGATGGAGCACCGCTGCTGCCTTGGTTGCTTCCTCTGTCAGTGCCCTTTCTGCGTCATGGCGAGGGCTGTTGGGAGAGCAGGGGGTGACGTGTGTGGCTGCCTAGGTGATGCAGTCTTGCTCATAGTAGTAGGCTTGCTCGAAGCTGCCCTCGACGGTGATGACCCCCTTCGGGCCAAGCATTTTGAGCTTTAGGTAGGTGTAGTTGGGGACGGCCATGAACGTGGCGAAGCACGGTCGACCAAGGAGGTGAAAGGTCGAGATGGCGGACTAGAGGGGGGGTGAATAGTCCTTTCTAAAATTAATCGCGTCGGCTAACCGATATAAATGCGGAATAAAAACAATCGGTCTAGCCAAGACTACACCCCTCTATATATGTTCACTAGCACCTTGCAAAGATACTAATTATGCAACTAAGGTGCCGGGCTAGCTAGAGCTCTCCTAAACAATTCTAGGAGCAAGGTCACACAAACCTATGCCACTAGTACTTTAAGCAACAAGGAAGCTCCTACACATGCTAGTAAGCAAAAGCACAAAGCCAACTAAGCTCACTAGCAAAGCTCAATAACAAGGCAACCAATGCCTAATTAGAGAGCGCAAATACTTAGCTACACAAACTAAGCAATGTGACTAACAAGGTTACTAAAACCAAATTAGCCACGCAAGGGGGGGAGCTACTTCTATGCTACACAAGCAAGAAGATAATTAGCAAGCTACACAAGCTATCTAATTACAAGAGCAACTACACAAGCTTAATATGTATAAAAGTAATTGCAAGCTTGTGTAAATGGGGATGCAAACCAACGGGAAGAACAAGGTTGACACAATGATTTTTCTCCC